GAAAACATAATTCGTCTACGACAGAGACTATTAAAATTAAAACAAGAAAGCAATAAATCTTGAGGTGTACCACGAGGAGGATAAAATCCGTAACTAATAAAATGAATAGTATTTAAAAATATCCGTTGTACTTTCTCTAATTGAATATTATAAACATAAATGGGACTCCAAACAACCGATGCATATTCAAGTTTGCAACACAAATGCTGCATACAATATATTTAGAACCTTTACGTTCTGACAGTCCTTAGAATTACGCAAAATAAAGCTTAATTCTTATAAGCGGATTAGGTTACTAAACTAATGTACTCATCAAACGATAATCTAGTATCGAATGTAACACCAAGGTCAGTAAATTGCGTAATTCTATTTAAAAAAAAAACAACAATTTTATAATCAAAATCTAAATAAGTTTTGCGTCGACTGTAACACATAATTTTACATTTGCTTACATTCAGAGGTAGATTATTATTACATGAACACCAATTGTGTAATCTGTCAAGATTATCTTGTAATTTAGTACAATCAATAGAGGATTTAGATTTAGAACAACTTCAGGTCGTCCGCGTAGAGTAAATAGTTGACATCGAGGCATTCAGTTCAGTCATTAATAAAAATAATATATAACAGTGGTCCCAGGATTGACCCTTGCGGAACTCCTGAAGATTGATGGAATTTACATGATTGGAAGACTCGATATTGCACAAATCGGTACTTGTTAATTTTAAAATGAATGTATTTAAAATGTTATTAAAAATGTCATAATTTATCAAAATGCATAAGATTGTGATGGGATGCGAAGTCTTTATGTATATGCTGCTGTTCTGTAAATATTTTGTTTTTAAAAAATTAAGTTTAACTGTTCGAATAAAAGTGTGAATTAGGTTGCCTACCTACTCACTTAAAATATAATTTTTATTTTTATCTTGTTTTTCTTACGCGTTTTTTTATTGGTGACACGGACAACGCCGATTCTCGGCTCTGGAATCCATCCGAAAAAGTATACTGAATGGTAGTGCGTGCTTTCCGATCTACAAATAATAATTATTTTTATATACACTCTTAATTAAATACAGGGTCGGAAAGTCCCCATGGTTAATAGACAGTTACGTGAGAGCGATAAAGTCATAGAAATCCGTGCGATAGAGAAAGATACCACAAATAAGATCCACTTCTTATTTGTGGAAGGGCGAAATGGGCGGTGACTATTAGACGCTTTCATTATAGCCATCTTTCTCTATCGCACGGATTTCTATGACTTTCTTTATCGTTCTCACGTAACAGCCGATGAACCATGGGGACTTTCCGACCTTGTATATGTGCATAGACTTATCCAAGAGACACCTGATCGTTCTCTATATTTGAGAAAACCATCAAAGCACGGACCAGGGAGCTAGCTAGGTAAGTCTGTGTCACCTTCGCTTTTCATTTTATTTTATTTTATTTTGTTGAACTTTAACATTGAGATTATTTACTCCAAAATAATTTGGATAATTCTCATACAGCTGCTGTATTTTTTGTATTTTTTACTTCTTGTATTGAAAATTTATCGTACTTTATAATTAAAAAATGATTTCAAAACACGTACTTCATTTGAAACTTTCCCATTACATATTTTATTATTCCAAATTGAATTACAAAAATAAACACAAGTAGAACGTAATCCATTTCTAATGACTAATTTGTGTATCGAAACGTTTATTTAGATTTCCCGCCACCTATCCTCTACCTCATACTTACTTTATTGCGCTGTTGCCGTTACTTCTTCGCGTTTAGTGTTTGGCGGATGACAAGTTAGAACTTTTAATGCTTGTTAATTTATTTCTCTGTGAAATATGCGGTACCTAACCTACTTTTTTCTTTCTCTCATCTATTAACTAATGATTCAGGTAAATGTCTATAATTTTATCGTCTTCCATTTGCATTTTTTTGCCCGTAATTCGATTGTAAGGACGTTTTGGCGTTAATTAAAAACAAAAACAAATCTACAAATAATTCGAGAATAATTCACAGAATTTGATTTCGCGTTGCAAAAATAATACATCTCAATAACACGAAATTGGCTGCTCCTTAAGAAACCTCCAACACGAAAGATCTCGAAATTGGGGCGGATCCGAACTTCGGAACTTCCGTGAAAGCGAGGAGATCCCCATCCAGCGTCAATATTTACGCGCGTTTGAGTGATCGGTTTGAACCGCTGTCGCGACGTGAACTGGCATCCGTCCCGAATTTCTACCGCCCCCCCCCCCATGCGCCCCTGCGTGAATTCCCTGGAGCCACGACTGGATTATTAATTGAGGCAGAGCAACGAGTAACCCCTTTTAACCCCAGCCGCCCGACCGGCGTAGCTGCCTATCAAAATGTCACTTTGGAACGGACGAACCACGGTGCTACCCCCTACCCCCTTCGCGTCTATTAGCTAATGAAAAATTTACACGTGGTGTATGCCGGTGGACTAGTCTTAGACGGGGGATCATTGGTAATAAGTGATTGTAGAAAATCAGACACGAAATGGCTTGGTAAATATTATTTAAAGAAAAATGTGTAGGGAGCCTCCTAAGCAGTGCGAAATATTTGAAAGGGGTGACTCATCAGGTTATTTTAAGACCAACTCCAAGATATTTCAACAAAATAGCAGGTCATCATTTCCATGGGAATCACAGGATGCGATGTAGTCTTATTTTTGACGCGTTGTTGTGGTACATCCTGTATATTACCCCGTCTCCGTCCCTGGTCGCTTTTATAGCTTAAAAAGGTACATAGTCAGAATTCGAATCCTTTTTTTTTATTGGACTTAAATAATTAAACTAATAGTCCAACCAAATTACACTTGGAGAAAAAAAAATTGTTACCTGGACTTTCATAAGTGGAAATGGTAAAAGGGCTTACAATAAACCTAAAAAATAAATGCTTGAGCAGGGGTGGTGGAAGGTTGATTTGGAGGGTTGAAAAGTTGTGAAAAATTGTATCATTGGGATTTTTGGCGAAAGTTGACGTCAAACAAAAACGTATCTAATAAAAAAGTTGTAGCTCATGCAAAAGTCTACAACTTTCGTAGGTCACTTTTTAAGATAACTTCAAAATTTCCGAGAAAATGTGAAAACTGATTTTTTTCTGATTTTTCGTTTTTTATTTCTCATTTCCGCAAAAATAATTTAATTTTAACGAAACTTGGTGAAAGTATAAATTTCTGTCTTAAATAACCACACATTTTTTAGATAAAAAAATCAAGAAGTTTTCGGGATATTCAATTTTTCCGGTTTCAGCACTTTTTTTTCGATACAAAACGTCTAAATCTGGTTCGGTGTGAGGCAGTACACTAATAGAGGTTATGAAGGCTTGCAAAAAATGTAAAAGAATTTCCAGGGTCGTATTTAAAAAAATGAAGTTGATGATGGTCCTGGAAAGATGAAACGTTACATATAAAAATTGATTATGCCATTCGAAAGCAGAGCTGGGTAATTACTTGTAATTTAAAAATAGTTACAATTACAAATTACTTTTTTTAAAAAAGGAACTAATTACAATTACAAAGTATATTCTTTAAAAAAGGAATTATATTAATTTAATTACAGTTACATGGAAAATGGATTTAGCAATTACTTTTCTAATTACTTTTATGATAAAGTAAATTATAGTGACCAAACAGAGAAAAAGGAAAAAGTTAAGTTAAAAATTTAAATTAAAAGTGTTGTGTAATATTGCGTTTTATTATTTATTAGAATTGATACTAAAATGAAAAGATTATTCTTATTCATTTTCTGATATAGAATTTTTATATTTTTATTCCTAATCTAATAATTTAAACTAGTTCAGTTCATACTATAATTTTATATTATTGGTCAGGTAATTAATTCAACCCGATGCTCTTTTTTTTGGTTGTTAGTACATTTGCAAAATATAGAATACAGTAGTTTTGGGTAGACTGGAAAGCAATAATTATTATTAAAAAAATTACGAATCGAACAAGTACGAGTGAAAGGCTGAGTAACCGAACCAGAAGTTTTCTCAACTCAAAATAAGAGCAGTAACACATAGATACATAATATATATTTTTATAAAACTTGATGCTATAGACAACATATTTTTACTTCGTATATTTTCTAAATTAATAATAATTATAATAAAATAAAATGTACTCTGTTAATTCTGAGGTTAATTCACCAAATCACTTTTTATTGTTCACGCGGCACAAGGCTTTCCTCAAATGAAATAATAGAAGTCTGCAAGTCTGTACGCAATTACGCAATACGCATGATCTTAAAAGTAATTATAATTATTAGAAAAAGTAATTGTAATTGGAAAAAGTATTTGTACTTATAGAAGTAATTTGTAATTCGATAGTTCAAATAATATAATTACAAATTACAATTCCTATAATTTTGCTGCAATTACAATTCCAAATTACTTTAAAGTTCTTAAATACAATTACAATTACAGGGAAAAAAAAGGGAATTGTAATTGCTAATTACTTTTTCAGCAGGAATTACCCAGCTCTGTTCGAAAGAGGACAAAAAGTTGCCTGAGAAAGTGTTCTTCTTTTTTCAATATCACCTCAAACAAGGCAGAAATTAAATAAAAACTGATATCCAAAATATCGCTATTTTTCAAATATTTCGAAAACTAATCATATTAGCTTTGATTTTTTAGAGGCATAATGGTCCTCTGATTACGCAACGTATCTTTTACCGTTTCCGAGATTCATGTAGTAATAAACGATTTTGTAACTTGTATATAAAAAATTGGAGTAGTCACTTTCCAGAGAGACGCTTCTGGATGTGTATTCAAATTCTGTCACCAAGTTAATTTAATTAATGAATTTAATTAATTAATTTAAATAAATTGTTGGAGAATCGTAGATATTTATGGAATTTTAAATGAAATATAAGGAAAATCGGTAAAATGATTAACTCTAATTGCCTTTTGCTATAATGTAATAATAACATTAAGCTTTTTGCTTACGCTTATTATTCAATAAAATATTATTTTTTTTGTTTCAGATGAGTCAGCATACCTCTACATAACCTAATTACCTCAGTCTAATTAAAGTAAGTAATTACACTGGAAACTAATTCGTATTATTAGTTAGTTTTAAGTTATTTCAACAATTATCCTTGATGGAAATACACATAAATTATATTTTGTAACGTTAAAAAGTATATGGACACAAAAATTTTATCTATACATACAGGGTGTAGCGTATTTTAAGTTGTCATTGGTAATAGGTAGAAACACTGGAATAAAACAATTTTATAAATATAAAGGATACAGAGAAATGTATATTTGTTTACATTCAAACGTCCTTGAAGGTAATTTCTTTGTTTATATTTCTCGTAGCGTAGTGGGAGCGTCATTGTGTTTTTCCTGTTTCAAACGGAACACGTATGGTGTTACATTTTTCATTCCTCTAAAAAGACAGATCCAAATATTAATGTATTGTACTGGTTGGATTGGTTATCAGTTACCTGTGACTATTGCGTACTGGTTGAAGTAAATGGTATTTCAAGACAGTAAAAACGTTGTACAATCAACCTCCACAGTAAATTTAAATTCTATCAAATTTTTTCAACGGAAGACTCGTCTTAGTCACTGCCGAATATGTTTTTGTAAAATTCAAGGTTGCCCCTATCGAACCTGCCATGACGTGTCCATTATCGCAGTAGAGAGTAGCATTTCTTTCTTTTATATTTTTTGCATAACAATAATGTTCCAGTCGTAGTAGTTCTCGCACTAGATTATGAGATATTACTAGAAAATATGAGAGTAAAAATGTAGTAGAAATAGATATGAAAATAAAAGTTGCGAGAAATTCGATTTTAAAAAGTTTAGAAATTGATAAATATACAGGGTATTACATGATGAACGATACATATTGTGAACGTTAAAGTGGAGCAACCTACGCGACTACAAAACGATTCTTAAAAAAAATCCTCATCAGAATTCTTGAATGTAAGTGTGATCCTTGATATCTTATTTCCGCGGTACGAGAAGTAAATATATTACCGTAAAATTTGTAAAATTACAGTAAGAAGTCGTTATACTGTTAATACTGACGTATTAAAACATTGTAACATTAAAATAAAATAATATTAAATATTAAAAAGTTCATTGAAAAATGTATTAACAGAATTTTGTTGGTAATTCAATAGTCGAGGAAAAAATCAAACACTAAGAAACATTTTTCATTTACTTAACGTAACAGTACCCGATTGTTTCTACAAAAAAGGCCAGTGGCGTATTTTTTCCTAGGGAAAATAGGGTGGCACCTTCAGTAACACGCCACTGGTTAAAGCCACGAGGTTAATTTTGCATTCAATAAAATATCTAATTAAGTGAATACTCCTTGGTAAATTTCATTGAATTCCGTCAATGTATTATGAAGATATGACAAAAAATATGTTTTCGGTCACCAACATTGAATAATTCAAATATTTCGAATTTTCACCACCAAGAACGGCGGTGACAGCATTTTTAACATTAAAGCGATGTTTCGCATTGTATTGTCTATGTCTTGTCCAAATTACTGTCAGCAACACAACTTTCTGCAATTATTGTGGCTGATTCCCACCCACCATGTCTTGATTGCTAATACATCAACTCCTGTACTAGCCAGTAACGTTGCTGATGGTCTTCGGAATGAATGACCTGTATATGTTTCAGGATGTTCTAGTTTCAAAAACTGTGCAATTTTATTAGGAATCATAGAAAGGGTATTCTTGCCGACTGGTTGGTTCTAACATCTACCTGCTTGATAGCACATAAAAAATCGTGAAATTTCAGTTCTAATCTTGATATATTTCTTGAGAATTTCTAGGTGGGAAACAGAGCCCAGACGAGAAGTAATTGTAACTACAATAATGTCATCGAAATCTTTGAAATAGACGTCCAAAGTCGTTAGTGCAACTCTATCGGTTTCGAAAATTTACCTATGTAGTAGGGTGGTCCAAAAAAAACGAATATTTTTTTGTGTCTCTTGTGAAAATATGTTAGTTTATCATATTTTAAAAGCCCCCTCAAAAAATTAGGTCAAAAAAAATTTTTAAGGGGGCGCTCGAAAACATTTTAGTTACACTACTTTGAAAGTTGAAATAATTATGAATGATCTTTAGAAAATAACGATTTGAAATTTTCAGAATTGAGATTTTTTCCAACCTAGAAAATGATAACGAGAAAAAAAATAAAAAATAAATTCAGTTTTTGACAATTTTGGAAATTTTTTAAAATCTTGAGCGACCTCTAAAAAATTTCTTTGAGCTCATTTTTTGAGGGGCTTCTTAAAACATGTTAAACTAACATATTTTCACAAGAGACACGGAAAAAAAATATTCGTTTTTTTGGCTCACCCTACTATGTATGTATGTTTTCAGCCATAAAAATTGAATAATTCCAAATATTTCAAATTTTCACCACCAAAAACGGCGGTGACAACATTTTTAACATTAAGGCAATGTTTCGCATTGTATTGTCTATGTCCTGTCCATATTTGGTTAGTGCAACTCTCTCGGTTTCGAAAATACAGTACCTATGTATGCTTTTAGCAAACTATAACACCCTGTATCTCGAATACCGCGTCCCTCATTAAAAAAGTTTTCAACTTACGTTTTGATAATGAATATATCCCTGTAGTTTCTGCGTTTAAAGAGAAATCACCTTGTATAGTAATGTACGTTTTGTATTTTGTATTTGTCCGCTTTTTTCAGTGTGACATGCCACCTTGAATTTTTCATTATTTATGTAAAAAGATATGCCTGTCCTCTAGAACCCCTAAAAATAGCTACTATAAAGAGATTTTTTTTGTTTCTGCATTTTACTTAGAACTGTCCATACGAAAAGAACCTACTACCTACCTGATGAAATAAACCCAAGTAAAATGTGGAATTTTCTTCTTTTAGGCTATTGAATAGAGGATTGCTTTCAATAAAAATTTCAATTCTGACTTTTAGTCTATATGCATAACTACTTCCCACCACAAAAATTGAAATTTTGATTTTAAAATTTATGTTAGGACATTATTTGAGGTTATAAACAGATTTGTTTTAAAAAAATGTTGTGTAAAATAATAAATAATGGTACTCCTCTCTGGAGTATTTTCGTGTTTTTTTTTTAATTTATGAGCACCCTATACATCTAATCTAAGATGTTTGTATGACTGTCTCATTTTTTCGAGGGGCAGAACTTTTTATAAAGAGTGACATTTTTCGATAAAGTCAAAAACAAAAGAGTTTCTCCTCTTGTCAACTCCATCCGTGGACACACTGTATATACATTATTAATAAACTTTATTTTACTTAAATTCTCAAGTTTTTACTAAATTATTTTATTAAAAAAGTAAAAAAAAATAAAAAAATATTATTTTTTGTTTTCTTTAAAATTGTTTATTAACGATTTTTTTTACATACAATTTTCCTTTTACATTTTTTAAATAAGCCTTTTCGATGAGAAATTCATTTTGTCTACAAAATTTTTCCTATGAACTATACCGAAATTTTGCTTCGTTTTCGTGCTATATTTAAAAAACTGCAAAAGTGCATTTTCACCCCTATCTTCAATTTCAACCCTCTAATTTAATAGCACTCCGTGTTTTTTTCATTTTTAATGACCCTTCGAACAAGTCATGTGATGAAAATCCTTGAATGTCTCATTTACTTCCTTTTTTGCAAAAAAACGCGACGAACATCGAAAAATTGTCTAATTGTAAGTTTGAGCGGCCATATATCAGTCAATTTTCATCCAAAAATATTCTACAACCTTTTATTTTGAAGGAAATTTTATCTGCTTTTTTTTCTATGAAGCAATGCCTATACTTATCTTTACTCAAAAAAAAACTAGAGGCAAAAAAGTAAAAATAAAAAAAATCTTATTTTTTGCTCTTTTAAAATTGTTTATTAACGATTTTTTGCATAAAAATTTGCTTTTAAATTTATTAAATAAGCCATTTCCATGGGAAATTCAATTCTCTAAATAAATTTTCCTATGAACTATAGCGAAATTTTGCTTCGTTTTCGAGCTACAATTAAAAAACTGAAAGGGGCGCATTTTCACCCCTATCTCCNTTTTTTGCATAAAAATTTCCTTTTAAATTTATTAAATAAGCCATTTCCATGGGAAATTCAATTCTCTAAATAAATTTTCCTATGAACTATAGCGAAATTTTGCTTCGTTTTCGAGCTACAATTAAAAAACTGAAAGGTGTACCGAGTTACCCTAACATTCATTATCAACTGTTTTTCATTTTTAAATACATTTGTACACAATGAATGGAAATACAAAGATCTAATATTACATATTCCATCCTTGAAAAGTAAACTGGTCGGGTATAATTTATTTTTTTTTAAAATGATTTTTAATATATAATTTTGTACAGCAGATAGCTGTTTTAAAGTCGTATTATATAAACCACCCCATACCAAAATACCATAGCGATAAATGGATTCCACTAGAGATTTATAAACTATAAGTAATATTTTTTTGCTTAAGATATCTCTTAATTTGTAGAATCTAAAAATCAGTTTTCGAGTGTTCGCTGTTAATTTATTTATATGCTGCTCCCATTTAATGTTTTTGTCAATTACGACACCTAAATATTTTATGGATTATACTTCATTTATTACCATGCTGAAACGTTCAATATTAATCCTATCATAGTTGGGCCTATTTTTGCTGGTAATTGAAAAGGCTATGTATTTGGTTTTACCAGCATTTAGAGATAACTGATGTCCATCTAACCATATTTTAATAGCAGTTATGCCACGTTCCATTTGTTCTTTAACTGTATTCCAGGTATCACCAGAGAAAATGACTACAGTATCATCTGCATATGACAGTATTTTACCACTAGTATTTAAGAATAACAAAGAATTTAAATATATTATAAAGAGTATGGGCCCTAAAACAGTGCCCTGTGGCACACCTATTTTAACTTCCTGGGGATCACTAAGACAATTATTAACTCTAACATATTGCATTCGATCAGTTAAATAACTAGTAAAAAGCTTTAGCACATTTCCTCGAATTCCATAACTATGCAGCACATTAAGAAGCTTGTCAT